AGGAGGGGCAGTGCGCGGGCGGCGAGACGGGCGGAGACGTGCCTGCTCCGAGCGTCCCCCTCCTCCTGGGGCCGCTCGGCTCCAGACCCCTCTCGCGCACGAGCAGCGAGAGTTGCTCGGCGAAGGACGTGGAACAGGGAAACGAACAAATGACATAAACCCAAAAACTCGGAGGTCCGCGCGGATTTCTCGGATCGGAGCTGGGGCCCTCCGGCGCCGCCTCCGGCGCCGCCCCTGGCGCGCTCCGCGGGCCAGGGAGGGTGGTCCAGCGCCGATCCGAGAAACCCGCGCGGACCTCCGAGTTTTTATGTTTATGCCATTTTTCGTTCCCCTACAGGGCAGTTTTAATGCGTAGGATTTGAAAAATATAGGATTTGTAATACATGATTAATTCATGAATAAACTTATGCAGGAGCGCATCGCTGTCTTTAATACTAGAGCCCTGCATGTTTAACACATGATCCGCACGCAGAGCATGTATTCAAAACGGCACGGTATGGACATCGAGGGGGACCTGGCCGATCGGCCGAGCCAGCACGCCCAGGCTCGCACGCCGCTTCCCGGTCGCTCCAGGGACGCTGCAACGCAGAGGTGTTCAAGTGCCCTGGCATCGCCGCAGAGCGGGGACAGGGCCAAAAGTTGGTCGGGGACGCTGGCGCACAGTCCCAAAGAGGCAAGGGGCGGATCTCTTCCTCCTCCTCCTCCTCCTCCTCCTCCTCCTCCTCCTCCTCCTCCTCCTCGGCCGTTTCGTCTCGCTTTCCATCTTCCCACTCTCCGCCTCTTGGTCGCCGTGCCTGTCACCCTCTTACGCGCCAGTCCCCTCCCATTCGCAACATGTCTTCCTCGGCACTCCGAGCTCGCGATCCGCGCCGGGACGAGAGCTGTTGCCTTCGAGCTCTCGCGCCATCTCCTGATGAGAGGAGCATCAGGGGGACCAGTAGATTGATTGATTGGGCAGCTGATGGCGGCAGCTGTGGCTCTGTGACTGACGACTCCAGACCTGCAGCCTGGGCTGGAAACATTGAACGCTACGTACATCACTGGCACGTCCAAGAGGAGGGAGGGGAGGAGGAAGGGGGGGAGGGAGAAGGAGGGGGGGAGGAAGGGAGGAGGAAGGGGGGGGGAGGAGGAAGGGAGGGGAGGAGGAAGGGAGGGGGGGACCAGTAGATCCAGTAGATCCTGGGACCAGTAGGAATCTGCAAGCTCCAGGGCGGGGCGAGCTTTCGGGCCCCTGTCGGCGATCCGTGGGCGACTGGGGGGGTCGATGCGTCTGCCCTGCGCCGACCCCTCCCAAACGTTTCCCCCGACTTCGAGTGCGCTTCCCTTCGCGCCCACGCGCCATCCCCTGCGACAGACGAGGAGGAGGAGGAGGAGGAGGAAGAGGAGGAGGAGGAGGAGGAGGAGGAGGAGGAGGAGGAGCAGCACGGGGCGCCAAGAGCACGATCCCCACCGCGCTCCTGCCGAAGACCTTTGGCGGGGGGGGAGAGCCGCCCGAGACAACGGCTCTCCCGCCTGACCCATGCTCTACTTGAAATCAATCCCCGGACCTCTCCCGGGGTCCACCCTGGCCTTACGTTGTTCCCATCCGACTTAAGGACCACATGCCAGAAATAATTTCGAGCACCCGGAAAAGTGTCGAAACAGTGTCGAAACAGTGTCGGGCGAGCGTCTCCCCAGGGCCCGACACGTGAAAACCCTTGAGTTTCGGTACTCTTTTGGGCGCTCGAGATTCTTCTTGGTGATCAAGGCTAGAGCAGGTTGGAGCATCATAACCCTGGCCTCTTCTTTGAGGCGGATCCGGCCGTGGCGACGAGAAGCTCTTCCGCAAGGCACGAGACGGACGAATCACGCAATTGCCTCGACCAGGCCCACCTCCGAAAACCCCCCCCTCGTCCTCGTCTTCGTCCTCCTCCTCGTCCTCCTCCTCCTCCTCATCATCATCATCATCAGCATCATCATCATCATCATCATCATCATCATCATCATCATCATCATCATCATCATCACCATCATTTTCATCATCATCATCCTCATCATCGTCATCATCATCATCAGCATCATCATCATCGTCATCATCATCATCACCATCATCATCATCAGCATATTCATCATCATCAGCATCATCATAAACATAATCATAATCATCATCAGCATCATCATCATCAGCAGCATCATCAGCATCATCATCAGCATCATCATCAGCAGCAACAGCACCATCATCGTCGTCATCACCATTAGCATCGTTATCACCACCATCGCCATCTTCATCATCACCATCATCATCACCACCATCATCAACACCAGCATCATGATCATAACCGTCATCATCGTCAGAATCGTCATAATCATCCTCATCATCACATCAGCATCATCAGCATCATCAGCATCATCAGCATCATCACCACCACCATCACCATCACCATCACCATCATAACCATAAGCATCATCATCCTCATCATCATCAGCCATCAGCATCATCATCATCAGCATCAGCATCATCATCATCATCATCAGCAGCACCATCATCATCCTCACCGCCCGTCCCGCGCGCCTGCGTGATGTCCTCCTGGCCGTTCCACTTCATGAACACGTCCGAGCCCTCGCCGTCCTGCGGCCGCACGCGGGGGGCGCGCCCCGCTGCCGCGGGGGGTCAGGAAGATGCCTGCCCGCTCTGGAGGATCCTGATCCTGGCCAGACCGTTCCTGGTCCCAGGACCGGTGCACGGTGCACGGTACAGTAAACACACTAGATAAGAAGGGAAGGAGGAGGAGGAGGAGGAGGAGGAGGAGGAGGAGGAGGAGGAGGAGGAGGAGACGCAGCCTGAAGGGAGTCCGTCGCGCGAAGCGCCAACGGCCACTGAAAGGCAAGCCAAGACCCTGCGGCCTCGGCTCAGCGCTCGCACGACGCCCACCCCAAAAGGCCCACCCGACAACGGGATCACGGCGGGGAAGGCGCGCAAGCGCACTAAGAGCACGCACGGAAGAATGGCGAACTCATATAGGAAAACCCGTCAAACGAGTTAAGAGAGGCTCAACCAGTGAAACTCAGGATCATCGACTCTGAGACGCCTCTGACCAACTATAGATTCGTGTCGCTTGTAGTCGGCAGGATGCCGATTCGTGTTGAAACGAAATATATGAGAGGCGGCACGTTTAGAATATGGCGGAGGTGGGCAACTAGAGACCAGGGAGGACGCTTGGACCGTGGAGATACCACAAGTCACACATATGACCACCGATCCAGGGGCCACAGAAAGCTCGTGCCCTCGAGCCGCTTCGGGAGGGATGTCTCCAGACGGGGGCAAATGGCGAGCAGGACGAGAGCTTCAATCGGCCGCGGGCCCCCCCCCAGACCCCCCAAGGCGCCGCGCCTTGATTGGCGGTTCCCTCCCGAGCAGCCGCGGAGGGACACGAGGAGGTTGAGGGGAGGGAGGCGGCATCGGCAGCGGGCGGCCGCGCCTCGAACTCACGGACGACCTGAGTGAGGACGTCCTCACGCTGTGATGCAAAGCTGACGGCCCTGGCCGAGGACGGCGCGGGGCCTGAAACGCGTGCTCTAACCATCCTCGGACTGGGAGAGGGGGAGCGAGGCAGCGTCCTGACGGCCGTAAGGCGAACTTGGACTCGCCTCAGCACCTGAGACGGGAAAAGGTTCACCTCCTTCAGGGTCAGTAGGCGAGTCCAGAAAGAGGCTCCCCTCCCCCCCGACTGCGACGGCGACGACAAATCCACCATCCCTCCCGACCAGTGCGGACCTGGGGGAGCAGAGGCAGGCAGATCCTCGCCAGCACGATGCAACGACCGATCGCACGACGAATCACGACCACTTGGCTCAGAGGATTCTGCCTGCAGCCTAGTTCGAACCCTCCGAAGGTCCCTGAGAGGCGAAGCCGATCGCTCCCGCGACAGGCCAGCTGAGACCTCAGAGGCATTAGGTTGAGACGGGGCCTCAGTAGGCTCCAACGAGCCACCCGAGGCACTTAATCTCTCGCGCAAACATATCTTCACAGGGCACTGACGCCGCGCGAATATCTGGCGCTGCTTGGACGTGCCTACATACTTCGCACACAACGGGCACCGCCATCCTTTGTCTGACGGGTAAAACTTGTGAAACATATTAGCGTCTTCAATTTGTCAGACTTTAGCCTTAGCTCTAGCACGTCGACGCTCCTGAAATCGGGTTTCACCTGGGGCAACCGTGGCCCCCATGTACTTAGTGTGGGCCTCGGCAAGCCATATTAGGCCTTTCCTGGCCGAGCGAAAAAGAAACTTGACTTGTTCAGCTGCTTCCTTAGTGACGGCATGCACGTCACGGCCCTCACAGGCCGCAGAGTCAGCCCACCTGTTTCCCCGAGCTTCGAATCCCTGACCTTTCTGATGGCCAGAAACGTGAACGATTTGAAGAGATTCAGAGAGGCCTCCGAGATCTTCAATACGTCCCCATATCTCACACCACAAGTCTGCATTAGGACGCCGTGGATGACATCCCCAAGCAGGCCCTCGGTCAAGGCCTTACGGCAAATCAAGATAATATGTAAAAATCCTGAGTGGAAGAATAGCGACTCGTAATATCTGAACAACTGCAAACGATTCCGCTCTCGGCGATGTCTGTATCGGCCCTGGCAGCGGTGCGTAAACCACGAGGTCAACTATGTTGCGCCGAATCTGCGCAAAGCCCCAGCCAGCACGTGCAGCATCTGGCCAGTAGGAATACTTTCGACAAGGCCCATCCGAGAACACGTCGCCTGTCACAGCACTTGCATCTCCGTACAGAACTCGCCAAAGGAGGAGGAGGAGGAGGAGGAGGAGGAGGAGGAAGGTGAGGTAGGAGGAGGGGAGGGGGAGGGAGGAGGAGGGGAGTAGGGAGGAGCTGAGGAGGAGTAGGAGGATGAAGGATGAGGGGGGGGGGGGGGAGGGGGGAGGGGGGGGGGGGGGGAGGGTGAGGGGGGGGGTGCGGTGGGGGGGGGGGGGGTGGGGGGGCGGGGCGGGGGGGGGTGGGTG